ATCCGTTAACAGTTAAACTTTAAAAGTCAAAGGCAGCTCTAAGCAACTTTGACTTAAAATAACAAGCTTTTAGCACTTAAACGTCTTCTCGGGTTTTTTGTTTTTGTCATTTGGTGCAATGAAAGAAGCTTCTGCCACTTGTTTCTTCAGGGAGACTGAGATCTGGTTCTCTGACCCTGGAGTTGGTGTATTTTGTGGTTCCTTGTATCACACTGACTCTTTCTGTGTGTGTCGTTGCAGACTGTGAGTACTTAATTAGACACATGTTAGTCCTGGAGCCCAGTAGACGGTTGAGTATGGAGCAGATCTGTAAAAACAAGTGGATGAGGCAAGGAGACCCAGACCCTGACTTTGACAGGGTGAGACCCTCCACTGATTAGAAAAGAAATGTACTCCATTTTCGTTTCCCCGACGAGGAAGTCATCATCTGGATACCGCTTTTGTTTCCTTTTAGTTGATAGCGGAGTGCGAGCAGGTGAAGACGGAGAGAGAGATCGAGCTCATCAACGAGCAGGTGCTGATGGCCATGTCTGAGATGGGCTTGGACAGAGAACGCACAATCCAGGTTTGACGCCGCTGCACCTCGTATCCATTCGCCTCACTTCTCACCTCTAGCTTCTGTTCGTTTTTACGGGCGCAAAGAAAATGGTTTCATTCCTTCTTTCTTCTCCAGTCCTTGCAAACGGACGCATACGATCACTACAGTGCCATCTACAGTCTGCTCGCAGAACGCCTCAAGAAACACAAGACGCTGCGTGTGGCGCCGCCCCCGCCGCGCTCCATCAGCTATCCTCTAAACGCCATTCAGGTGAACTATTTCCTCTCCTTTTTCAGGTTGTTTTTAGACGCTGGCTGCGTTTCTTTTCTTTTATACACTGCAAAAACATTCTGAAATTAAGTAAAAATGTCTTAAATTAAGTGTATCAAGTGTAGTGTACCCTTAATTTGAGCAGGTAAATACGATAGTTTGCCAATGGATTGATTATTTTTACACTTAAATTAAGTCAATTAGATGATATGCACTTGAAATAAGACAATGCAATTGATTTTTCTTATTTCAAATGTAAATTGTCTTGTTCCATTGGCAAAGTGTCTCATTTACCTCCTCAATTCAGGATAAAATGCACTTATTTTAAGAAAAAAAGGACTTATTTAGATTTACATTTTTTGCAGTGTAGCTTCACTGGAAAAATTATCTAGGAATAAGTAAAAATGTCTTAGATTAAGTGTATTTACCCTTAATTTGAGCAGGTAAATGAGATGATTTGCCAATGGAATGAGTATTTTTACTCTTAAAATAAGTCAGTTAGATGATTTGCACTTGAAATGAGACAATGCAATTGATTTTTCTTATTTCAAATGTAAATTGTCTTGTTCCATTGGTTAAGTGTCTCATTTAGCTCCTCAATTCAGGATAAAATGCACTTATTTTTAGAAAAAATGACTTATTTAGATTTACATTTTTTGCAGTGTAGCTTAAAAGTCTTCATGCTTTTGATGCTCCTTATTCCTGAGGGAAATTTCACAAACATTTTTGCCGTGCAGCGCACAATAGTTCAAGATTTCATATCAGATTTGTCTTAAGTTTTTTGGTAAATCTGAACAAAAAAAAAAAACTTAGCTTGTTCTTAATAGACTTGAAGTTAATGCACGATTGCTAAGTCTGTGTGGAAATGCAAAGTAGTAAAAACAAAGCTATATATAAGAGAGTTTTAACGCCGACATAGTGAAACTTACATTCCCTGAAGCATTTAATGAGTAAATTTTCCCGATCAGCAAACCTTCAGGCAGAGGCAACAGGCAAAACTTGTTTCTGCATCTAGTCAGTAAATTTATTTTAAGGCAGCGATGGGTAAAAGCGACGTACAATCCCACACTTCTGACAGATGTTGTTTTTTTTTAAGAAACAACAGCAAATAACAGAAGTAGAGAAGTTGTACTCAACCTATTCCTATTAAAGCCTCATTCACTGAAAAATAATAATGCCCCTGCATTAT